TTTAAACCTAAAATTTAAGAATAAACCTTTCTAAAAAGATGCTTAATTTGGTTTTCCATGTACACGTGCAGCAACGCTTAATTCTTCATTATTACTATTATTAATGAGACGAACTCTCGCTCTTTTGCCTAGGCTGGAGTGAAGTGGCACAATCTTGGCTCACCGAAAACTCCGTCCCCTGGGTTCAAGTGATTCTCCTGCTTCAGCCTCCTGAGCAGCTGGGGTTACAGGCACCTGCCACCATGCCCAGCTAATTTTTGTATTCTTAGTACAGACAGGGTTTCACCATGTTGGCCAGGCTGGTCTTGAATTCCAGACCTCAGGTGATTCACCCGCCTCAGCTTCACGAAGTGCTAGGATTACAGGCATGAGCCATCGTGCCTGGCCAAATCTTCATTTCAATAAAGCAAAATCTTGTGCTATAAATTTGAATGTTCCGTAATTTCTGGGAACTAGTATAATGATCCTTCACAATTATTTGTGCATTAAATATTACTGGCAACATCTTTTCCTTTATTAATTTTCTTAACAAATATCTTTTTACCCCACATAGAAGATTAAATTCCATACAGCTTCTGGCATTTTACTCTGTCTTCGCTATCACATTTCTATCTTCCTAACCATGCAACATTAGAAAAGTTTTCCATTCCTCTATGGACCGGTTTCTTTGGCATAAAGAATAGATGTGGGCCAAACGATTCTGACAGCTCTTACTAGTGCTAAATTTAAATTGAAAACAAAAGCAAAAACAAATAAAACAGTATTTATGTGGTGCATCAGTCTGCGTAATAGATTGTCTCCCATCACTGCTCTTTGGAGGGAAATACAAGAAGAAAGTGATGTCAGAGAAGCTACAGCATAGCTGTCTACATGTCGGTCTGAGGGGTACCTCTCACTTCCCCAATCCTACTTATAATGCGATGTGCATATAGTGAATAAATTGCTTTAATCATGAGTAGCTACATTCAACAACGGCAAAGCTGTTCAGTGCACATTTTCTAAGGCTCTAAGATCTAATCATTAGCCACACCTATCTTATTAGACATTTCTACCCCTTCTCTGCCAAATCCAATCCATCACCTAGTCCTGTTATTCTACCTCAGGAGTAAGCCTCTGAAATCCATGCACTTTATTCCTCTCTGCCTCACCACCCTCAACCAAATTACACTCTTTGCTAACCTGAAATAAAACTAGAGAAGACTTTTTTTTAACCCATTCTCTGAGCTATCCTTCAATATACCCATTCTCCACAATTAGCCAGAGCTATCTTTTCAAAATGTGAATTGAATCCTGTTCATTTCCTTCCCACCTCCCCCAAAACGACTTCCACTACCCATTTTTAACAAGTCCAGTTGTCATTACTCTTAGTACCAAAGAGTAACATGGCCTGCTATCCTTCCAGCCTCAGCTTACATCTTGTCTCCCTAATTCTCAGTGTTCCCTCCGGATCTCGTCTTTCAGTTTGTCCTCATCACAGTTCATCTGTCTGTATGTCCTTCTTTCTTCAGGCATGAATTTGCTTCATTTGTGATGTAGAAAATCCTCTTTCCCCCTCTTTGTCTGGTTTAATCTGATACCTCAGGTTCTCATTTTAGGCATCAATTTTTCAAAAGTACAATAAGTTCTTACAGCATTATGGACCTGTGCTTTGTCAGCACTCATCACACTTGTAAATTTGAGTGTGATTATTTGAACATCATTAATGGAGTAATTCAAGGAGAATGTCCACCTCCATTAAGAATAGGACCATTCAGCTAGGTAAGCCTTATGGGAAAAAAAAAAAAAGGGCCCGTACTTATCTATTTTTGCTCACCACTGTATGCACAACACCTGGCGTAATGCCAGGCACATAGTATATGTTCAGTGAAAAGCTGATAAATGAGTATATGAATGAATAAAGACACTTGCAACTATTACTACCGTCACTGTATAAGGCACATGAAGAATTCCATTGTTCTTCACAGGCATTTCACAAAGCCAAATTACAGACTGCCTTGAAAACTATAAACTTAAAATAGACTTTTTTACTTAACTGTAACCAGAACAAAGAAGTCAGCACATGAAATACACAAACAGTTTTATAGAAAAAGACATAAATATTTATAAAGAAAATTACAATGAACTGCTGGGGAAATACTAAAACAATGTTGTTTGTTTCAGTCCACTGAATGTCTAACAAAGCAAACTCACCAAAACTAAAAAAAAAAAAAAAAAAAGAAAGAAAAACCCACAGCCAAAACTGCTTGCTCAAAATGTAGAAATACCACAGAAGGAATGGCTGAGTAATGGTTATTATAATTTTAAGAAGAGCAAAATCTGCAGTATTTTTAAATGTGGTAAAGACTATATGAACACTAGTTTATATTGAACAAATCTAAAACAAGACTCAATAAATGTGATCAAGTATTATTGTTCTCATTTACCGTTTAGGTGCTCTACCAGCTTTGCTTTACTTTTATTTCAAGGGGGAAAAACAATCCTTCACTGGCAACTCCTTTTAAAGGTTACATTTCCAACAATCCAAATTTGACTATTCTAAGAAAGTATCTACAGATACTACACAATGAGTCATGTAAAATGTTCTTAGGGGGTATTAACATCACTGGAACCCAAGTGTGGGAAATGTGTACAAAAGTTTTATTCATTCAGCTAACAACTCCTCCCACCCGCAGTGTGCCAGACTATATACCAAATCCTGAGACTACATAGGTAAGTCTCAAAACTGTAACAATAAGTATCAAATTCAAGAGTTCTACACCCACATGGCAGGAGTTTTTGTGTTTCTCTCTTAACTCCAAGTCTCTAATTGAACATGTTATTGTACATGACTGGGATCTATGAATGAAAAGGTGAATGAGAGACAGCCCCTGCCCTAGAAAAGGCTCACTGCCTGCCATGGGACACACAGAAAACTGTATGGGAATCAGAAACTGCGTGCTGGGTGATAAATGCAACAGCACAATGGGCAACTGCTACGGGAACCATAAAAATATCAGGACAGGTAGGAAGAGTGTATGTCATGAAAAGAAGGGCATATTTCATTCTTAGGAGCTCACTCAACGTCACTCACTTTTTCAGATAATGTCCTCAAGTTCACAGCTCATTTGACATTGTTCCTTGCTTTAACCTTTTGTGAAATTTATTCTACTGTTCTGACAACATTTCTTAAATATCAATTATAAAATTTAAGATGTAAACTATTATCATCTTTTATATTTAACACTTTTAGCTTCATGTAGTTTTTCTTAAAGAATAAGGTTGAAGATAAACAGGATTAAAAATTAGTTTGAAAATACATTTTTGTGTGTAAGTCAGAAGGAATTCTTTTATGGAAATTTATACAACGATGAAATCCTCACTCGGGAATTAGTAATTGTCAGTTTTTGTAGTTCACACTGTGCTTTTAACTTCCTCTCTCTACCTCAGGAAGGAAATAAATAGCAAAAGCTTTCAGACTAAACCCAATGTATCAGTAACTCTGTACTTTCAGAATTGTATTATATAGCTTTCTGTGCTTAAGAAAAGGTAATTATGTATCTTGCTCTATAAGCCCATCTAGACTTTTGTCAACCCAATAAAAACAAATACAGTAATACGTAATTACATTCATAAAACTTAGCATTGCCAATTCAGACTATGGTATAATTTATACAATCTGTACTTTCTACAGAAACAAATAATAAACGTACATTGACAAATGCATGCTCAAAAAGCTCAAGGAGTAATCAGAAAAGCACATCAGAATGAAGAAACCTCAAAAATACGATTCTGTATCTTCCTACAAACATTCAGCAACCTATCAGGTTGCCTATGATACCAGAGATGTTTAATACTTGTTTCTTGAATAATAAAAACGACGATGATGATGATGATAACCACAGCTAAGATTTACTAACCATTTAAATTGTATTAGGCACTGTTAAATACTTTGTATTTAAGCCTGACAACAATTCTAAAAGCTAGGTACTATTATGGATCCCTAATTTAATGACACAGGAAAGGGTGCTGAGAGACATGAGGAAGTGGCAAAGCTGGGATTACAACCAAAGTTGTCTGAGGCCAAAGCTCTTAACCACTCAATTGTGGAAAAACATCATATACAGATTCTAGTTGAGATTTAGAAACAGCTTTGTGGTGAGAATTTTGAAACAGAAATATTTAGATATGACAGGGCATGGTGGCTCACGCCTGTAATCTCAACACTTGGGGAAACTGAGGCTGGCAGATCACTTGAGGTCAGGAGTTTGAGACCAGCCTGGCCAACAAGGCGAAATTGTCTCTACTAAAAATACAAAAATTAGATAGGTGTGGTAGCACTTGCCAATAGTACCAGCTACTTGGGAGGCTGAAGTGGGAGAATCACTTGAACCTGGGGGGCATAGGTTGCACTGAGCTGAGATCGTGCCATTGCGCTCTAGCCTGGGTGAAAGAATGAGACTCCACCTCAAAAGAAAAAAAAAAATCTGAAAAGAATATATTCATATATATTTCAGCTATTTCAATATTGTAGTGAGGTATATATTAAAATCGTGGCAAACAGTCCATCTTAAAAGAGCACTTGACTGTAATACCATTAAGCTATTAATAGTTCTAAAAATTTTTTCAAAGGAGAAGTTTTAATTACAAAAACATTTTATATCATGTATCATCTAAGTTAAATAAATCTTTTACTTACAAAAAAGGCAATCTAAAACTTCAATTGAATCTAAAATTCAATTGTTTTCTCCATAACACAAGTGATTTCTGAAAAAAACCAAATGCTAAAGCTCTAAAGAGAGAAAAAGAAATTATAAATAAATCATGCTAGATTTTGTTTAAAAGTTTCCAGATTTAGAGCAGTAAAACAGTATGTTCTCCAGTATTAGTTTTTGAGATTTTTGAACACTTTATTTGTTATGGGAATAGACTGAAGTTTGCACAAAGATCCAAACCAAACATGAACTTATAATACTTGTTTGCCTGATGTCATAACTTAAAAAAAAATCCTGCTATAAGCATACCTTGGCAAAAAATACGGTGAGGTGAGTTTCACTGCCAACAATCCAAATAGGGAATTTTGGAGATTTCAAGTAAGAACCAACCTAGAACAAATGTAGCAAAATAAAACAAATAAACAAATTAAAAATTTATACTGCCTCTTACATATTTGCCCATGAATATTTGAAGCATAACTAAAGTGTCCAATTTGTATTTAACTGGAATAATGTACTGTGCCAGAGCACCTTACCCATAGAGACCAAATGCTGAATGTAAAAATGAGTGTTAGTAGACTGCCAGTTCTGAGCTTCTATTGTACCTTGACATTAAAACAACAATAATATAGATTTAACACAGCTAGAAATAACTATTTAGCCCTAATAGTCATTCTCAGGTTTTGTTAAAGTTTCTAGATAAAATGACTACTTCTTGGAATTTCAGAATGAAACCTCAAACCTTTAAACTATAAACTTGGTAACTTTATAAAAAATAATTATACATTAACAAATGAGTGGACTTATGAATAATCAAAGCGAAAGAACATTTTTGTTCCCAAACAATCTAGGACAATATAAAAATCTCTAAAGAAAAATTAAAATCTAAACCATTTAAGTATGTAAGTGTCCTGTTGACTCTTCATGACAGAAGGTAAATTCAAAGTTTCGCAATGTGAACAGTTTCTTTAAAATGTAAAAAAAGCCATACTTGTAGCCTGAGCTCAAGGTTATATAGTCTGTGAACACTACAATACCAAAAACTTGAGAACATCATTTTGTGTAATTTAGGGGAAAAAAAAAAAAAGCTTAATATTCAACAAATAGATTTATGAAACCCAACATGTGCACAGCATTCAATTCCACTTTCATATGAACACAGAAACTTTAACTTAAAAATGACAAATCTTACCAATACAATTTGCTGCATTTTCCTTTTTCTTACAGACTGCCTGTAACTGGGGAATTCCAAGTGGCTGTTTGCGGCAGTCAGGGCCAAAAATTCTTTCCTAATCAGCCAGCTGCCCCTGCTTTAACCACCACCCTGTCCCTGTGGAATTTATTCTTATCACTAGGAAGGAAGTGGAAAATAGGTATTCTTTTGTATTCATGGACAGAGAAACTAGTATCTTTGTCCTACGATGGGAAGGATGAGTTAGATGTCCTAATGTGGTGATGCTGAGCCAGTGATGTAGGAAGCATGGTTTGGGAACAGCAGAAAAGAATAAAAGAAAAGGAACAATCTAGAAGACCCCATCGTTAGACCAAAATCTTCTGAAACTGATAAGCAACTTCAGCAAAGTCTCAGGATACAAAATCAATGGCAAAAATCACAAGCATTCCGATACACCAGTAACAGACTTAAAAGAGAGCCAAATCAAGAACGAACTGCCATTCACAATTCCTTCAAAGAGAATAAAATACCTAGGAATGCAACTAACAAAGGATGCAAAGGACCTCTTCAAGGAGAACTACAAACCACTGCTCAATGAGATAAGAGAAGGTACAAACAGATGGAGAAACATTCCATGCTCATGGTTAGGAAGAATCAGTATCATGAAAATGGCCATAATGCCTGAAGTAATTTACAGATTCAATGCTATCCCCATTAAGCTACCAATGTCCTTCACAGAACTGGAAAAAAACAACTTAAACTTCATATGGAACCAAAAGATAGCTGGCATAGTCAAGTCAATTGTAAGCAAAAAGAACAAAGCTGGAGGCATCACGCTACCTGACTTCAAACTATACTACTAAAAGGCTACAGTAATCAAAACAGCATGGTACTGGTACCAAAACAGAGATATAGATCAATGGAACAGAACAGAGGCCTTGGAGGCAACACCACACATCTACAGCCATCCGATCTTTGACAATCCTGACAAAAACAAGCAATGGGGAAAGGATTCCCAGTTTAATAAATGGTGTTGGGAAAACTGGCTAGCCATGTGCAGAAAGCAGAAACTGGACCCCTTCCTGACACCTTACACTAAAATTAACTTCAGATGGATTAAAGACTTAAACATAAGACCTAACACCATAAAAACCCTAGAAGAAAACCTAGGTGAAACCATTCAGGAGGACATACGCATAGGCAAGGATTTCATGATTAAAACACCAAAAGCATTGGTAACAAAAGCCAAAATAGACAAATTGGATCTAACTAAACCAAAGAGCTTCTGCATAGCAAAATAAACAATCGTTAGAGCGAACCAGCAACCAACAGAATTGGAAAAAATGTTTGGAAACTACCCATCTGACAAAGAGCTAATATCCAGAATCTACAAAGAACTAAAACAGATTTACAAGAAAAAAACAAACAAACCCATTCAAAAGTGGGCGAAGGATATGAACAGACACTTTTCAAAAGAAGACAAATATGAGGCCAACAAACATATGAAAAAATGCTCATCATCACTGGTTCATTAGAGAAATGCAAATCAAAACTACATTGAGATACCATCTCACGCCAGTTAGAATGGCGATCATAAAAAAATCCAGAGACAACAGATGCTGGAGAGGATGTGGAGAAATAGGAACATTCAACACTATTGGTGGCAGTGTAAATTAGTTCAGCCATTGTGGAAGACAGTATGGCGATTCCTCAAGGACCTAGAAATAGAAAATCCATTTGACCCAGCAATCCCATTACTGGGTATATATCCAAAGGATTATAAATTGACCTATTTTAAGGACACATGCACACAAATGTTCATTGCAGCACTGTTTACAATAGCAAAGCCTTGGAACCAACCCAGATGCCCAAGGATGACAGACTGGACAGGGATAATTTGGCACATATACACCATGGAATACTGTGCAGCCATAAAAATGATGAGTTCGTGTCCTTTGTAGGGACATGGATGAACCTGAAAACCATCATTCTCAGCAAACTGACACAAGAACAGAGAAACACCTCATGTTCTCATTCATAGGTGGGTGTTGAACAATGAGAACACATGGACACAGGGAGGGGAGCATCACACACTAAGGTTTGTTGCAGAGGGAACTAGGGTAGGGTCAGCAGGGGGTGGGGAGTTGGAGAGGGATAACATGGGGAGCAATGCCAGATATAGGTGATGGGGAGGAAGGCAGCAAACCACATTGCCATGTATGTACCTATGCAACAATCCTGCATGTTCTTCACATGTACCCCAAAACCTAAAACGCAATAAAATATATACTTAAAAAAAAAAAAAAATAGAGAAAGCTGATTACAGTTCCAGAGTGTATGAAGGTTTTAGAGGTGAGCAGTGCAAGTGTGTCAATTTATACATAAGAAACCAGAGAAATACACAGGATCTCTATCTAGTCTCATCTTAAGCAACTTAACAGTACAGAGCTGGAATTAGAACTTAGGTTTTCTAACTCCTACTCTGATAGATTTCCATCACATACATCATGGTGCTTCATGTAGTGAACAGCTTAGGTATTAACCTTTCTTTTAGAAAAAGCGTATATTTCAATTAAGGAAGAAGTATAAAAAAGAGGATAAGATCAACGAGTAAATGAATGCTAAACTCACGGAGTGTTTTATAATAGTAAAAATATCTTGAATGCATAAATAAGTGTAATCACTTTGAAAACAGTTTGACGCATCCTCAGAAAGTTAAAAATAGAATTACTATATGACCAGTAGTTTCAATCCTGGGTATATACCAAAGAGAAATAAAAACATGTTCACAAAAAATTTGTACATCAACGTTTAGAGCAGCATTAGTCATAATAGCTAAAGTGGAAAGTACCTAACTGATGAATAGATAAAACTGGTGTAACACACACAAGAATATTATTTGGTCATAAAAAGGAGTGAAAGGCTAATACATGTAAACACATGGATGAATACTGAAAACACTATGCTAAGTGAAAGGAACCAGAAACAAAACGCTACATATTGTATGATTCCGCTAGTACAAATGTCCAAAAGAGAGGTAAACCCGCAAAGACAGAAAGGAGAGTAGTTGTTTCCAGGGCTGGGCGGAGGGGGATATGACTGCTAATGGGTTTAGAGCTCCTTTTGTGGGTAAGGAAAACATTCTGGAATTAGATTGGGGTAACAGTTGCATAGCTTCGTGAATACGTTAAGAAGCCCTGAATTGTATGTTTTAATATAGTGAAGTTTATGGTATGTGAGTTATAAATCTTTTTATTTTTTTTTTTTAAAGTAGAATCAAAAGCAGCCATAGCCACCTTATTCTTTGTTGGGTTTTTAAGTGTGTGTTGAGAGGGAGAGTGCAGGAGGGACAGAGAGATCATTTCATCACCTCAACTGTATTAATAATGCATGTATGGTCAAAATGGTATTGCAAAAATGTTAACTTCACCTTTAAAGAGAAATCTGCTACACTTATAAAGCATGAGGAAATGTTCAGATTTACAAAATTACCACAAGCACAATGACTTCCTTAATGCCATTCTTCCAAGCATCTGGCAAAAAGTAAATGTAAAATATATATGGAATTTGAAAAGTTATATAGAGATGAACACTGTCGTGTAATACTGTTTTTCAAAAAATGCTGTCTTGACTCACTTTTGAGGCCCTGGCTAGAAGCCAGTTTCCTTTAAAAACATAGCTAATTAAGTTTATACTCCAACCACTACCATTATAGGTATTCCACACTCCAGGGATCACCCTAATCACCCTGGAGTCAGGTGTCAGACTGCTAGGGATAACCAAAGAGCCCCTCAGAATTATTCAAACTAGCCCATCTATAGGGGATCCCAGGCAACCCAGCTGACCCCATCCTACTTGCTGTACATAGCTGCTCCTATGGCTCCAGCTTACTGTACCCCAGTCCCCAGATGCAATCCTGCATGTGGCCCTGCCTGGCTTCCCTCTCTCAATTGCAGTTGTAGGGAACAGAGTTTTGCCTTTCACTTATCCAACTATCAGTGTGTTTTGCTGCACCATTAACAGAATCCTTAAATCTTATTTAAAACCATAGTTAACTGCTACAGCACTACAGCAATATGTAAACAGAAGAATATACAGTGGCGACTGACTTCCCGCTAAGATCTTGAGGAGAAAAACATTCTACTCTTCCACCTAAAAATTAAAGCAAAGCAAAGCTCACATTTAGAAACCCTTACAATTTTGGTGAATATATCCATTCATTCATTACATATTTCTGAGTACCTGGCACCTAATATATACCTAGCAATGTCCCTGCTTCCAAAGAGTCTATATTCCATTAGGGAAGATAATAGAAAAGCAAACTCAAGATATAAAAAGATAAGTAAACAAAAAGGGTCATTAGAGAGTAATTATTCTTATTAAATATTCTGGAAAAGAATAACTGAGGGACTGGTTAAGAAAAAAGTCTCTGAGGTATGATCTCAAGTCCAGCCTGAAGGGGACAGTGAGCCATCCATTTCAAGAGCTGGACAACTCCAAGCAGAAAGGACAGCAAGCGCTGGAGAGGGCTGGGCATGTCTGGGAAAGTGAAAAGACACCAGTGTGGTTGGAGCACAGCAGTAGAAAGAGGAATGCAAGTGCAAAGACCATCAGGGTCTTACGGGATACACAGGAAATATTTCCAAATATAAAATCTCCACCCCCAGCCTCATGCAAGATGCAGGCATGCGTGTACATCCCACCTGCCCCACCCCACCCCTCCATGCTTAACTTTCCTCAGAATCTTTGAATGTGTGTGCATATCTGTTAGGGGGAAGGGGACGCAGTTTGATTCTCTAGTTGCCAGGCTGTTTCAAAGTAGCTTTAGCTTAATACAATTAAAGCCACCGAAAATAAGAGTTGCTACTGTTTAACAACATGATCACTACTAACGAGTAAGGGCAGGACAAATCCGATTTATCATATGCGTATCACCCAGTGCTCAAATGTCACCATTAAAAAGAAACACTGTGTGACAAAAAAGAAAGAGGATAAACCACAGTTATTGTTATTAGATATAATTATCATCTGAACCACTGCTATGGAACCCTGTTCTAAAATAGAGAAGGAAGGCCAGGTGCCTTAGGCTCATGCCTGTAATCCCAGCACTTAGGGAGGGAGGCCAAGGTAGGAGGATAACTTGAGGTCAGGAGTTTGAGACCAGTCTGGGCAACATAGCAAGACCCTGTCTCTTTGAAGTAATAAAAAGAAATAGTAGGAGGAGGCAGCTGTACATAAATGGTTTCTAAAACTGCAGAAAGCTTAAAAAGGATGTCAAAAACCATTCAATGCCT